GAATGATCAGGCTCTTTTATCCCTGCATGCCCCCCAACTCCGTGGAATGTTTGAATATCAATGTCTTTTCTCATCAGAACAATGATCTAAAGTCTTTGCTTTCTTTGGTAGCAAGGAAAGAATAGCTAACCCTTGTGAAGCTCTTGTCAGTTTACAATGCACTTACACACACATTTTCTTATTTGATCTTCACAGCACCCTTGAAAGGGAGCAGAGCTGATTTTATATCCATTTATAGGTGAGGACATAGAGGTCCCAAGGCATTTATGAGTTCCCTAAGGTCACACTGCTCGTAAGTAGATAACCTGGGGCTTAAACCCAAGTTTTCTGATTCTAAACCTAAGGCTTTTTTAAACTTTCTCATGTTCTTATGCTCCTTATAAATTAACAGACCCATCTAGTATCTTATTAGATATGGAAGTCAATCAAAAAGGCAGGTGGATTCCAAAAGCCTTTTTGATCCTAATCATTATATAGGCATTTAGGGGAAGAAAATCTCTAATGCAGGGCTTGACCTCTTTCAGCCTGAGATTCTGGATCTCTTACACATCATTATATTGATCCCAGATTGTTTTTATTTAAGAAGGCTAAGACAGTGGGGAAATATTTCGTTCCAATATAAAAATGTGCATGTAGAGAGATGATAAAATTACAGTTTGTCGTGGCAAATGCCATGTGAAGTTTTTAATTAAAATTACTTTATAAAAGTTTGAAAGCATGTCACTAAAGAAGTAAAATTTGTGATAAACTTAAATTTATAAGAGGGGATCCTCTATCAGTGATCTATTCAAACAACATGGTAAAGACAGTGGGACACGATGAATGAGAAACAATCTTTGTCCTCAGGAAGCTCACAGTCTAGATTGTCATTCCACGTATACTATATCACAGAGCTTCGTAAACCCATGGGCTACACTTCTGCTAATGGTGATAAAGCATTTTAATGAACAGCTTATAATAAGTCAATTCACTTGCCAAGTAAACTTGAATTTTACCATCCAGATTATTCTGAACCACCGTCAGAGGGTGTAAATGCAATCTTTGTGTTTCACAGAAAATCTTAAGTCTGTCTGTTTTGCAGTTTCTGTGCAGAGGTTCTGAATTTGAACTTAAATCATTATTCAGAGCCATTAATGGGAAAAATCCATGGCAAACTAATAACGCAGAGTCATAGAACAGTAAAGTCAGCAGATCTTGAGTCTTTGTTTATATGCTGTCCATGCTGTGGACTGAAATGTAAGGTGTTACATATTTCTTTTTCACATTGTTATTTGTTGTGGGAAATACGCTCAAAACTTTAGAATTTTGAATTTGAGTGGGACTTCAGTGGGACAGTATAGGCTGAGACCCACCCACAGGCTTCCTGGTGCCTAGTCTAGCTCTCTCTCTTTCCACCAGTCTTTATTGGGCTTCCAAATTTAGCAGCCAAGAGAGATTTAATTGTGGTCTTCTTAAAAGTTTATGTGAGGTTTCTTTCTTTAGTTGTGGATGAATGTAAATTTTTTCCTTATTTAGTTGTGGTAATGCATTTGTATCTTCCAAGGCTTTTGGCCTATTTTTACTTTGTTTAGACATGACTGATTATTTATGATTTAAAAAATTACTTATGACATTGGTTAAACTTAAAAATATGTCATTTTGTTAGATTTTTTACCAATTGCAGAGAAAGCATCTAATTCACATCCTGAGTTATATTAGTTCTTTGGCAATGACAATGAGAATATGTTTCTGTTCCCAAACCATCAGCATTAGGTAGCTTCCTAGATTATCACACCTGCCTTGTCTATTCTCAGGGGTGCCTTAAGACACCTGAGAGATACGTATGGAAGAACTTTGAACCAAACCATAAAGTGCTATAATAGTATGTTACATGCATGCACTCGTGCATGAATCCTCTGATTAATTGTACAATTGAGACTGTTATGAGACATTTTGCTACATGAGCTTTCAGATTGGAATAGGCCAAAAATGTAGTTAGGTCAAGAAAACACTTAAATTCTTCAAGGCCTTGCTGACAGTAAAATTATGGAGTGAATGGGTGGTGGGAAATAAGCCTAGAGTGTTAGTACCTTAGACTGTGAATGGAAATAATAAGTGGACTTGAATTTTTTTCTTTGTTTATTATCCAGCCTCTTCATTCTTTCACCACTATGTATTAAGCACCTAGTAAGGACTGGATACTTTTTAGACATCACTAATGTTCACATAAGTAAGTCAAGATGCCATTGATGTCCTCCAGGAGCTTACGAGGGAAGGTATTTACAGATAAGATACAACATAGGATAATAAATATATTTTGGAATATGCCATGTGACTGACCTTGCTGAGAAAGGTATAATCTTGGTTAATATTTTTTCTTGGGTAACTTTTTAAACTTTTAATAATATAAGCAATTTATTCCCAAACCATATATAATATTTAAACAGTTTTTAAATATGTAAACTATTTTTTTGAATATATTTTTTGATAGCCTTATTTTCCTAAAATATGGATCTACTCTACTTGGTAAGCCATCTGAACCTTCCCTATCTGACTACATAATATTAGAGAGCTCTTAAAGAAAGGGCATTGCTACTGTCACCTTGATGTTAGTCCTTGGTGGTAGTATTTCTTAAGAGCAGAAACCTGGGTTTGAATCCTAACAGAACCACTTATTATCTGTGGAACTTATTTGTCCTTCAGTTTCAATATCTATGAAATGAGAATAAAGATAATGCCTACCTCATAGTTGTGAGGCTTGAGTGAGTTAATATATGTTAGAGTACTTAGATGAGTGTCTGGCACACATTAAAGGTTATATAAGTGTTATCAACAGCTGTCATCATCAACATCATCATCATGATCATTATTGTTACTACTATTTGGTAGAATAAAAGTAAATTGACTAATGTTTTCAAGAATGGATTTTCTCCTTCTCAAGCCCTGAAAATTGACCTAAACTACAGGTAGAAAGATAAAGGATCAAGTAGTATACTAGCATTTTACCGGCATTTTCATTCAATCCTTACACCAGTGCTATGAAATAGATGAGCAAACAGGCTCAGAGAAGTTGAGTAACTTGCATAAGGTCTCGTGTTAGTAAGTGGATACCATTATGATAACCAGTCTCTGTTACTCCATATCTGTACTCTTACCTTGCATGACACCAAAAGCCTGAGAGTTCAGCAAGTTTCACTAATAGAGAAGCTTGAATATGTTTGGGACCTTATTTCTAATGAAATTAAAGGGATGTCATCCACATTTTTAGTTTGTACCCACTGTAGTGATTTGTTTTATGTATATATTTGTAATTTCACCCCCTTCCATTCAAGAAAAGTATGTTGCAGTAGTTTAAATGATATAAGTGGGATCTAGATAGAAAATATTCGAACATGTGGAGTCTTATTAATAGTTTTCAGAATTAAGCTGACTTATGATATTGTGCCAGTTTTCAAGATCACCGTCATAATTACTGAAGTCATCACTCTTCAAATTAATAGTTTTTTTCATAGAATTTTTAAGCCTAAACTCCATGTAGTTACATATTCTAGGTGCTATTTGATATGATTATTGTGGTAGGCTTTTGGGAAGCATTCAGAATTAATTAAAATAACTTGGATTTAAATGTAGTTAACTTTTAATCTTTTGTTGTTTTTATAGTAGAGTTATTTGGATAGGAGAGAGGGAAATTTTATAGATGTAAAATCCCCATCCACACAATGTCACCTTAGCTTCCTGGATTAGGTTACCTCACACCCCTAGCCTAGAAGGTGTGGAAGTTGTAAGTGCTTCCTAAAAACATTTGTGCATTTCCTGAGTTTTATCTTCTAGAATCGCTTCTGCCTCCTAGGCCCTATTTTCTTGCCTTGTGCCTCTGATATGCACCGTGGTGCACTCGGACCTGAAACTTGGCTCCTTCTCTGATTTTCAGAAAGGCCCTAATTCGCACAAGGCATTTGTGGGTTTAGTCCACCTAACCAAAGAAAAGAGGCCAAGTTGAGGTGGGGTGAGCCTTACATTTCATTAATGCAACTTCTCTTGTAAGGCATCACTATTATCAAAATGTTTTCAGACTTCCCTTGATCTAAGAACTTCACCTCTACCTAATTCCACCGTTGCTCCATTTAACTGACTTGTCTTTTCCTTTCCCTCTCCTCCTCGTTCTTCAGAGATAAAATTACAATTCTTTCTCTTGTCTAATGCAGAACAATTTCCCTCTCTTAACAACCATTCTGGGATCTTGACAGCCATTTAGCAAGGATCCATCCACCCTGAAGAAGTGGACATGAGAGATGTTCCATACTGAGGGAATATATTTTCACAAAGAAAGTTCCTTCTAAGAGGAATTCTTGTGTTATTAAGATGACAAAACAGGATTTTTCATATCGTTACATGGCAGCTGACAATGTACTAATCTCAAGCTTACTGAGTCCTGCTTCTTGAATAAAGTGTCAGAAACCTAAAAGATGATTATATATGTAATTCATCTAAATCATATACTCTAGATATCTTTGACTAATATAATGTCCTTGTGTATAGAATGTATGCTGCTTTTAAAGAAGTATGCTGCTTACCTGAGAGGCATGAATCCACTTAACACAGAAGAGTCATCTCATGGCATCTTTCATTATTATATATTTCACTTACGCAAAAATAATTGTAGCTTTTGATACTTGAGTATTTTTGTTACCATGAATTTTTTTCTGACAGTTTGAGATTATATACAAAGACAATCTTTAAAACCTAAAGCAAATGCAGAAGTGGATTTTTCAGGATGTAAACCTTCATACTTCCATTTATGGATCAGTCTGTAAGTGACTGAATCTTTGATTACTCTTAGCTAAAAAAAAAAAAAAATCACAACTTTTTTCACTCTTTTGTGTTAATTTTGAGTACTTGTAGAGAGTTCCGTAAACTGTCTTGTAATATACTGATCTTTTTTTAGATTTATAAATAAGATTCATGACATTGCTTTTCTCGCCATATATTAGCCCAGCCTTACAGATTGTTTTCCCCCGCAGGTAACAGAAAAGAGAAAACCTAATCAATGATTGTGGAATAATATGGAAGAAGATGGAAAAAAACTTGTTTAATGGGTAAGAAATGAAACTATAATAAAAAGTTATTAATTAAAACTATTTGTAATAGCATGATGTATGGCCTAATAGGTAGCCTAGGTTGGCATACTGTCAGGGTGAGTGGTCAGTCTCTATCTTTGTCTGATCTCCATTCTGAACTTTCACTACCTTCCTTCTCACTGTTGTGAATTTTTTAGTACTGTGAATTAACTTAAGCTAAGAGGGTACACAGCCATATTTGAAGATAAAGACAGGACCTGGAGGCCAGCAACCATACTAAAACAAGCCTAGGGTAGGTCTTGAAGGTTACTGGTGGTTGGATAGAAAACGTGTCTGTCATGACCTGTCAGAATTAACCACCCCTTCTTCTTGCTTTCCAAATACTGCCAGCTGCTATTAGGCTCACCATGGGGATCCGATTCATTAGGCAAGTGCAGATTGCGTGTCAGGTGGTAATCAAATAGAATTTCACAGAAAGTGCAATGAAAGGTGTGACTAAATTTATGAGATATAATGTTTTTTAATTACACAAGTCCATACATTCTCATTGTCAGTAATTTAAAACATAGATGACCAAAGCCCTCTACCTGAATCTTAGCCCTCTCCCAAAGTGTATAAGTGTATGATACATGTTTGCCCAATCTTCTTCTTGGCCTAGTGTTTAAAAACTTTGGCTTAAAAGCCAAATTGTTTTTGATTAGTCACTGTTAACTTGATATTTGGGCAAGTTAATTACTCTGCATCAATTCCTTAGGTATAAGGTGGGAACAATAAAATGCCTATAATCATAACCATGTTGAGAATTAATTAGTTAATCCATATAAAAAACTTGAAATAATTCCTGGAACATAGTAAGTATTCAGTAAATGTTAGCCATAATTCTCATATGTATCCCAGTTAACATGTTTATGTACCAACCCTGCACAGATAATATACTCCAAGAGTTAAACCTTCTTGGATGAGGTTAACCTGGTGGCAAGGGTTTAAAATTTTCTTCATGATAGTTGTCTTTTTGGCTTCAAGCTTTATTTCTCTCAGAGTGCGCTCTGCTAGATTATGTGTGAGAACAGAGTTACACGCTTTCAGTTCTTACTGCATATCTTATAGGGTATATGGTGTTTACAAGTATGTATGAATAAACAGCTATCTTCAGGCTATAGCAGTTTCATCCTGTCCATAAAAGTATTTTTGTCAAAGTTGGGTGCACTATTCTCTTATTTCTAGATAGATATGTCAAACTTTCTGTTAAAAATCCTTCAGTCTATTTTGAAGGACAGGTCTTTTGAGTTTCTTTCTTTCTTGTGTTACAGAATTGTAATCATTTTGAAAATGTCTTTGATATCTTTGCCATGGCTGGTCAGCACTTTCTTAGGTATTGCAGACAATTACCTTTTTTAAGAAGAAAGGACAATAAAACAGTCATCTCTTTTTAATTTTTTTTTCCTTCTTGTTCTGGGGCTCTCTTAGATTATTAGGGACTATTCTGTCTGCTGCGACTATTTTAGACTAATATACAAAAACAAGTTAACATTTACTGAATGTTTATTATGTGTCAGACTCTGTTTTAAGTGCTTTACTCATTTATTCATTATCTCATTTAATCCTGTCATCCACTTATGAAGCATATATTGTTATCTTGATTTTAAAAGCTGAGAAAAGTAAGGCACAGATCGAGTAATTTGCCCAAAGTCACATTGCAAGGATTCAGACCCGGGGGCCTGCTGGCCTAGTTAATAAACTCTTTTAAGGTTTGCTAGGTGAGTATGAATTTAAATAAGACAGTATAGCTAAATATCTCTTGAAAAAGTCACCATAACTAATCTGGCTTTGCTTGTTTGTGGAAAGGAAAATTTGAAATCATGTATCTTCTTAAGTATGGGAAAAATGATGATGTGAGATGATTATTTGTAAGTAATTATTTTTCTTGACCATACTTAAATGAATACAGCTGTTTTGCTTCATTATGAATCATTTGTAGTAGATAGAAGTCACCTGGACCTAGCTAAGGACCAACTACCTCTTTATGAAGGATTAGAGCGAGTTGATTTGTAGATTACCATTTAGCTGCTATTTTGAGAAACGTCCAGACAGAAAGATTGAACTGTGCAGCAGTTTGGAACTGATTGGTCATTGGAAATTGTTCTTTTGTCTTGTTAAGTAATATTTGAATGACAGTCAGCAAAAAGTTGTGCAAGAGAAGAAAAGGCAGGAGAAAGATGACTTATGGGTCTTATAATTAGAATGTCACTTATAAGTGATGGTCTAAAAGTAAATGTGCATTAACAGTCGACATTTATATCACTGGAAGGACGTATAGTATGAGGTTTTTGTTCTGAGGTCTGTCTTGTCAGAGAGAAACATTGACTTTGCTTTTCTTCAAATAGAAATTCATTCCTTTTGAAATATGATAAAGTACAAAGAGTAAGCGACATTTAAAGTAACAACAAGTACACATAAAATGTTTTGACTTTCCCATGAAGCGTGGCTAAACATAGTCCATAATGTTTTCCTCTCTCCATCTTTTTTAACTCTCTCTTGTTGGAGAATCCCTTCTGAATGTTCATCAAAGTTATGGCTCTTAATGTACCTGTCTTTTACAATAGTGTCTTAAAGGGTGGTGCAGGGACCCTTGAGACTCTTTCAGGAGTCAAAACGATTTTCCTAACACTACTAACATTACTTGCTTACAAGTATGCAGGGAAGCTTTCCAAAGGCTACATGATGTACAACCAACTGAATGCAGAGATAAGATAGGGGAATCCAGCTGTCTTCCTTAACCCAGACATTAAAAAGATTTGCAAAAAAACGTAAAATAAGACCCCTCATCTCACTAGATTTGCAGTGAGAAGCACTGGGTTTATTCTACATTAGAACATCCCAGTGACCCCAGTATGAGTCAGAATGCCTTGATGCCCTCTCTCATGATTGGGTGACTGTGAGTGGTCACAGGCATTGCCCACCACATAATACCTCCGTGTGGATTCGAGTGACATCCTGATAGATTGAGGCCGTGTCTCCCAATCTAGGGAAGTGAAAATTCTGTTCCTTTTTCATAATTGTGCTAGAGGATATGTTTCAGATTATAGGGAGCTGTGGATATCTGGACTTAAGGAGAAAGGAGGGTTTGATGTTAAGTAGGAACACCAACCAGCCTTGCCAATTGTTCTTTGCGTTGGTTGCTCCCAACTTGGGAAGGACCAAAAGAACCTTTTGGGACAGCCTTATATTTTTCGGTATTAATTGGGCATCTGCTATGTTCCAGTCCTATTTTGAGGACTGGAAATAAGTTAGCAAACAAAATAAAAGCAAAAATACCTCTATCCTCATGGAGCTTCCATTCCAATCTTTGAGTCCTTTGTCCTAGTCACAGCTCCCTCTTCAGGGGAATCAGAGTTAATGGCAGCCACTGTGGATCTTGAACACCAACTGATATTTCTCAGTGGCAGAGTGTTGAGGATATAGAGTGAGAACTGCTTGACATTTTGTGATTTTTGATTATTTAAAAAAAAGGCACCAAATGGTTTGGGGTTTTTCACATCTTACATGGTACCCCAATATGGCAATAAAAGTGGGCCTGTCCAGTTACCCTTATTGTAGTTGTTTTAATCTTGTTTTGTTTTCAAAGTTAGTGCCATGTTTGTCAAGAAATTTAACCTAAAAAAATTAAATACCAAGTGATATTAAATTTATTCTAATTGTTTTCTATTATTTGAAGAAAATTTTTCATACATGTATGAGATATTCCTTGCCTGATGAGTTGCTCCCAAGACCCTATAATTTGTTTAATAGACTTTTATACAGAAAGAGATTACTTGGCTCATTAGACTCTGTCACTTAATAATGACTTGAAGGTTAACTAATGCAGTCATCAAGACTCCTGCTCACTGACTAGATGTCTGTCATATCACTCCCCAACTTCAACCATTTCCAAATGCAGACGATTGGGAATAGCATTAGAATATTAATGGGAAAAGATACTGACATTCAAAATGTGAATGACCAAAAAATATATCTAAAGATTATTTTAATTTTAAGATGCACTTTAATAGAAGCTCTTTTTTCTTTTTTTAAATTGGATGGCATTTTGGCCTTTCTTTCATCGAAGGTCTGATAGAAGCTTTTTAATCAGAATGCACCAAATGGCTGTTGTCTTTCAGCATTGCAACCTGCCAGGCACTCCATTCTCAGATGTGCCTAATATACCACAGACCAGAACATTTAAGGTTCAAATAAAACCCCAGACTTCTGCCAGAGTGGAAAAGACATAGTTATTTGGCTACTCAGGGTTGAGGAGGGGGAAACTGTGAGGGATCCTTTTAAAGGTGTCCAACTAACTTTTTTTTAATCTAACACTTTACACCCACCTTCTTAGGTGTGTAGGAACCTCTCATTCCCGAGCCCTTCCAGGTTCTAAAGGTCTAACCAGCTCGCTTGTTTATTTCACCCTGGTATGGGCAGCATTTGAGTTTTGCATGTTCTTGCCTGAATGCCAGGTTTGAGACCAAGAACCCAGTGTAAAAGACATGAACTGACAGTGCACATAAAGAGGAAAAAAGACCAATGTTTATCATAATTAAAGGCATACAAACAAAATACATGTGTATGTATGTATATATATACATACATACATATACATATATCACATCTTTTAATGACTTCCAACTTTTAACTAGTGAATTTAAGTCCTTTACATTTATTATGATTCCCACTATATTTGATTGTGGGCAGCATTTGAGTTTTGCATGTTCTTGCCTGCTACATTTTCCATTCCTCAATATACTTTCCAGATTCTAAAATTTTAATGATATTTCTCATCTGCTTTTGTGTCATCTTCTCCCTTTCTTTCTGTCCTTATGAATTTATGCCCTTTTTTTACTCCTTTCCTATGATTTTACTGGTGTTTCGAGAGGAGAAGAGGTAAATGTATATTCATTCTGCCATGTTTTCCTGGAAGCCCAGGTTTTAATGTAAATTATCAAGTGTATGCAACATACCAGGAATTATGTCAGATGCTTGCT